GTATGCTGTTTCTTTCAGTGCAAATGCCATGTTTTTCATATTTCCACTGCACTTAATTAACAGTTCTAATCAGGCGTACATGAAGTAACAGTTGTAGTTGGATTAGCACTGCTCAAACATCCGTACTACTGTAAAGGTACCTATAGCGTAGGTGCTGCAGTAGCATGTCAACATCTGAAAAGACCAAATTTGAGTGTAGTAGCCTAAATAGTCGCATTAGCACAGCCATCAGCAGATAGGTGAGCAACAAGTTACCACGAGTGACCAAAGTGACCAACGAAGCAGATGTAGACAAAGTAGCAGGAGACGCGGAATCAACAAAAAGCATTGAATGAATTGAAGATATAGCATTAGCAGAGTGAGCTGAAACAGCAATACAAGCTGAAGAACCAGACCAACAGTTTCACTAATAAAACTCCCATTTCTACATTTTTAACAACCTCTTAACATTACTCCTAAACCTTTGTAGTGAGAGTTGATCTCATGTTGGTAATTACTAAAAAGGCTGTTTTAGTTGCATCTGTACAAAGACAATTTTTTTTTCACCTTTGCACAGTGTCTCTTATAAAGTGATAAATGTGTTTTTTAGGATGAATTATTCATCACTTTTTTTTTATTTACATTTCAACTCTCTGTCTCACTCTCTCATTTTCAAGTCTCTGTGTAAGTCTAGTGCATGTATGAGGCTGCATGCCTTCAGAGCCTCAGATTTTTAATAAACATCACACTCAGCCAACACAAAATGTCCAACCTGTTTTCTCTCTGTTTTTCTCTTCCAGATGAATGCAGACTTTCCCAGTGATAACTGAGAAGCGTGTCTTCTAATCATTGTAAGACTACTCGTTTTAGTTTCTACATTGCAGGAATCCCATCATCACTGAGTCCTATCATAATCATCAGGACCAAAGTTGTGGTTAAGCTCATGGATGGGGCTTTTGTTCTTAGTGTTTGGAATCTGTGTTCGTTAAGTACAGAAACGGTGTGTGCAACTGTGTTTTCTTAGTTTTGGTTGCATGGAACCCAGAATGGGTATTGTCCCAACACTCCTCCAATCACAAGTCTGTTCCTTTAAACATTGGGCTACATGTTGATATTGGGAGCTGCACAAAAGTATTTTTTTGACATTCAATAAGTGCTAAGCACATTGGCTAAACCCTGGAGCTACGGAATCTGATGCGATGGAAAACAGCTTTATTTTCTTTGTGTTTTTTTTTTTTTTTAACATCCAAATTTAATTCTGTCCAGCTATTTTTATCATTTCACTTGTTTCTGTGTAGCTGATGTGTTACAGAGTAGCTCTAAACATCCAAGGTGAGGATGAAAAATTCAACCTAAGTGTGAGCATGAACTGGTTTGAAGATTTCTAATCTTTTTGTTTTAAACTGCACAAAATTAAAAAAGAGTACTACTAATTTGAATAAATTCCTAAGAAAATTCCCACCACAGTCACCTGAAGTTAATGTAAGTTATCCTTAAACACTGTCACTTTATTTTGTTTTATTTTTTCTCTTGATGTGATAAATGTGATTTCACTTCCTAAAAAATAACTACAGTGACACAGTGAAAATTACAAATGTGATTCTGCTTCTTTTTATTTAAACTCTGTTGCAGTTGTTAATAGATAAAGAAAACGCAATGGTTCTTTGTTTCAGTTGAACCAAGACATGTTATAACAGCTATTAAAGGCCTTATATGGATGTAGCAGTTGCATTTTCCATGTTGTCTTTTCTTTCTTAACAGAGTCAAGGTCACATTTGTTCCATCAAGAAAAGGAGATCTGCATCTTACCTTACCTATCACATGGCTAAACGTGAACAACATCTAACTTGCTCTTAGACTTTTTAGCTGTTGTTGTTTGAAATACAATGGGAGGTAAAACGTTTTTAGGTCCAATTGACAAAAACAATTTTTTTTTGTTTTGTTTTTTGCTTTATCTATAATTGTCGCTCCGACTCCGATTTTTTTGTTTACTGTTATAAAACCTGCTTAAATACCACATAACTCAACACTTGACAAAAGACGATATTAGACAAAGCTGATACTGCTTGACACTGTCCCCACATGATGTACTTTGATTTGATATAATATCTATATTTGTTTAAACTTTGTGTCTTAAATTTGTATATAATTATACTAATTTATTTATTTTGCTGCAAACTCCAGCAAACAAATGTTTATTTTTCCAATGCTCATTTTTACATTCAGGTTTGGGCCTGTATTTTTTCGTTACCTCTTTATATTAGTCACTTAAATGTCTGGTCCAACTAAATATATGACTGAATATCTCTGACCATACAGCTCATGTCTGTAAGAACTGCTCCTTTATGGAGTTATTCAAGGGTGAATTCAGCCTGGTGATGCCACAAGTCGCCACTAGGGAGCTAAAGTTAGCGTCTATGACGAAGACAATGCGGCGACGTTTCTCGGATTAAAGTCCCACCGGACAGAAAAGAGGAAAGCGCACTAAAATCCCCAGAGGGCCCACCTTTGTCTCTGTCTGGAATCTGTTGTTGTTGTTGAGCGGAGGAGAGAAAAGAATTGGATTCTCAGGTGAGTTTATCGACTGTAAATGTTTCTACAAACTGTCATTAGTTTAATGAGGAAGCGTGTCAATTTTAAATTGGCATCGTGTCAGTGTTAACGTTCGTCTTTTCCATTAATTAATTAAATAAATGTTCATTATTATGAATTTAAATAAAACGTGGACTATCGCAGGGTATATTTTAACATGAATGTTCTTATAATAATTTACTGGTCTGGGAAATAACTCATAGACGTACATACGTCTCACATCTTTTTTGTTTTGTTTAAGCAATTAATAAACACTGACTTCTAGGCTTTTTTTCCCCTTTTTTTATCCGTTGGCTGTGTTTTTGAATTTACAACCTTTTTTTTCTTTTTGCTTATTTCCAGCTTTTACGCCCAGATAGTTTGTCACATTCTTCCACTATGAACAACCGCATCACAATAAAGGTCTTGGTCATTGTCTGTAGATCACAGAAGGTAATTTTGCATAAATAAAGGTGAACGTTGTGGGTGAAAATATCTTCGCATTTCACTGGTAAAATGCTACCAATAGGTGGCACTAATGTAGATCAAGGACTGCAGATTTCTGGTTACAGCACAAGGAAGAAAAAGTGTGTGTAAGTGTCTCCCTATGGCTCTGTGGTGTGTTGCTTCAAATTGCTTTGAAGGAAAGTCTTTCCTTAGTTCTTTAGCCTGATGCAGTATAAAAAAATGGAAATGACGCTGTGATGCTGTATTTCAGAAATGGTGTAAGACAATTGAGGATGAAGTGGTGGAAGGAGGTGGGCAAGTGGAGAGGCCCAAGTCAGCAGTGGAGGGAGGAGGAAGAGGAGGATGAGAAGCTGGTGGAGGTGCATCTCCGAGGCAAAGCTCCTTGGGGCTTCACCCTCAGAGGAGGCACTGAGCACCGGGAGCCCCTGGTCATCACCAAGGTTACCATTTTTACAATGCTTCACCAATTTATTTATGCTATTCCTAAACCTAAAAACCTAATACCTACCAATAAAAGTCCGTTCATAGACAGCTGACAAAGCTTTTGCTGAAGGACAGAGCAAATTCTAGCTTAATGTCGCCTACCTAAAAAAAGTTAATGTCAGCCAATGTCCACAACTGTCCAGCACATTATCTGGTTCACACACAGCAGCATAGAGCAGAGCTTTCCTCGTAACTGAGGCAAAATATAATCACCTATACATTTATACTTACAGCATAAAAGTTTTTGTTACGTATGAATTTGACCGACCAGCTCAAACAGCAAACGCTATGATTTATTTAAAACTTTTTAAGTTTCCCAACAATGAAAGTTTAAGGTAAGGTCCATGGATTATGTAAAAATCAGCCAAAAGACACATACAGTAGTTTAGATTTTAACAAAGTGATTTAATAAGACTTAGCTGTCTGTCCAGGCACATTACTCCCAGAAAAGTTGATCTAAATAACCACTTTTCTTTTTGACACACTCTGCTCATCCTAGTGAGGACCAGTATTTAATTTAGATGAGTAGTTAAGTTATATTCTGTTTTAAACTGTGTATAAGCTTAGAATATTTCTACCAAAGGAGGATAAACATTGAAGAACAACTCCAGGCAGCTGGTGTGAAGTGCATCTAAACTTGTTATGATGATACCTGAGACTGTCTCAGGTAACAGTCAGTGTAGGGTTTAATTTTTAATTAGAACACTCAGGTTTCTGCACACCAAAGTCAGGATGAGGAGTATGGGAGAGAATGCCAGAAATCAATCTAGAAAGTTGTAATAAAAAAAAGTACTGACTACTCAAGAATGGGTCAGAATGTCTTGGAATAGTGGGAAGTTGACACCCATCCCAAAAGGTTGCAGATAAATCAGATTCAAAATGCATAAAAACATCCTGTCACACTAAGAAGTACTAAATTGGTTTAAAATCTAAAAAGTACAGACTGGTGAACACAACCAATCCAAACTATCTCTTGTATCCTAGAGTTAGATCAAGAATGTCTTAATGTACTTGTACATCGAAACGGGCAAAAATGTCGTACTGAAGTAATTTAACTAGAATGGGTCAAAAATGTGATTTACTTGTTGCACAGTGCATGGACGCACATGTTTAATCCATCGCCTAGTGAGTGGGGGCCCTGGAAAGCAGTGTGTGGGGACAGTGCCATGCTCAGTGGTTCTTTGGGGTATACAACCCAGTGCACAAAACTGCTTCTTAACCACAAGAACCACCACTGCTCAATTAAATAACTAAAGTGATCGCCCAACGTGGGGCTCGAACCCACGACCCTGAGATTAAGAGTCTCATGCTCTACCGACTGAGCTAGCCGGGCTGCTGGGGGCTGTGTTATTACTGTATATTCAGACATGAATCAAAGACATTATCACAGTCACGTGGGACGCTGGTCCAAAGAGGGGTTTCTTACAACTCTCCCACACACATTTATCAACCACTTCATATAGGGGATCCTTGGTCTACGCAGTCCCGACCTACGGCGTTTCATGTTTCCTGTCCAAAATGTCCTAGTGTAGTTGGGCATCAAAAATGGGTCAAAAGGTTGTGGCATAGTAGAGGCTGAAAAAGGTTTTATCTTGTGAGCTGCATGAAAACAGTTGGGAATATGACAAAATGTTCAAAACACATCATAGTTGTCTGACCTCCAAAATGATTCAATACAGTCTGAGTATGAAATACAAATGAAAATAAATCAGAAACATTGCAACATTGTGAGACCTAATTTGATAGTAGTTTAAATTTTTGTTGAACACACATACACACACACACTACGTACAGTTTGTGTGGGGGGAAATGTATTTGTAACTTCCATTTGACCTGTTGGTGTGTTCAGGTGGAAGAGGGCAGTGCAGCTGCAGCCGTCCGTCTCCAGGTCGGAGATGTGTTGGTGAGTGTGAACAGTGTTCATCTCAGCGGGTCTCGACAGGAAGCCATCAGCCTGGTGAAGAGCGCTCACAAGACCTTAACTCTGGTGGTCCGAAGGTAACACTACACGCCTCACTTTCTGCTGTCTACAACCTAATGATAATAAAGGTAATTAGTAGAAATGTTTTGACAATAATAAAAATATAATATAAATATCATTTATCTGCTTTTTTTAAGAATTTTGTTGGAAAACTACCTTTTAGCCATGATTTATTATTTGTCATGTTTTTTGTTGTTTTGTTTTTTTGGCAGTGATTTGAATTATCTTTTGACCCTGTTCTGATTGGTGTTCTCACTTCACAAACTCTTCCTAAAACATTTTGCAGTACATTTGGCTCCACCCTGTGGTTATTGTGTTTAAGCAATTATGTTTTAATCTTTTTGCTTTCTTTAGATTTTCTTTTTTTTTTTTTAAACTGACTTTGAATCGAAAAATGCACACTTCTTCTAATATTCTGTATTTAATTTTTTAAAGCTATTTTGTGAAAAGTGAGAACAATTACTTGCTTCAGCTTTTTTTTTTAAAGAAAATTGTGACTTGAAGATAGAACAATAATGTAACATAAAGAATTCTTAAAACTAGACAGAATCCTTCTATTGTGATGAGTTTCCTTCTAAGATGTAACCCAGATTTGATGGAAATGAATTCTTAGTTTTTTAATTCTCAAATTGTTAACATTAGCAACATACTGTATGTAGGATGTATTTTCATTTTATTAATGTTAACTGATTTCAGTGTTCTGATAGAAATAATGTGTCCCCAAATGTTTACAAGGAAAATGCAACAGAGACTTAGGGCCTGAATCCAATTACTAGTTGCAAAGCCAAGCCAGAAGACTGGATTTGGCTTTGTGGAGTGGGTCGAGTTACTATGGTGGCAGGGTGGGCTCACGGTGAGATGTTGAAGAGTTGGCCTCTGCCTGAGAAAACACTGAGTCTGAACCAGCTCACAGAGTGAGCAGCAGGTCTGCGTTACATGGGAACATTTTAAAAAAGCTTTTCAAGGACTGTTACTCCTCCTTGAAACAGTTACACAGCTCAGTTGTCTTCCCCCCACATTGCAGCAGCAGTGGTACGACCCGTGTTGCCTAGGTGAGTTGACACTACTTAGTGGGTTAGGCCATATCAGCAGCACCCATTGTTTTCAGGGGCTTAGGCAACTTCAACAAGCACAGAGTGAGCGCTCCTGTCCGTGTTTTCCTCACCTCTCTGTGGACATGTTTGGCATGGGAGGATAAAGGAAAGATTTATTTTTCTACTTCAGGTACTATTTTCCTTCTTTTTTACTTCTGTCTTCAGTGTCAGTCTTGCTTTCATTTTATCTACGATTTAATCAGACTCGAACACATCAGGGAAGCACTGTGTAACTGTGAAGATAACAGGTTGGAGACAGTGATTGATTTAGAACAGCTACAAAGCTAACAGTACTTTCTACAAGTGGATTTCTACTGTTTCCTCACAGGGGGTCATTTGTTGGACTTGGGAAAGTGTTGAATGTTTTAGGGCAGTTAAACTGGATTCTGTGTGAATGACTCAGTTAGGAGCAGAGGAAGGCACAGTATTTACACTTCGTAGTATGTATGTCTGGGCCTTTTGTTGTGCATCATTTTGTGAGCCACTGGAGCTAAGATTTAAAAAAAAGAAATTTGAAGTATAGGGCAGCGCTGATGTAGCTCAACACAGCCATACATTCCCAATGCCCAATTAAAGAAATAGTGAAGTGGATTACATTTGTTTAATTATAATGTTTACATTTTTACAAAATTCTTGCACAATGCTACACAATTCTAAGCTATTTTTAGCTTCATATTTTTTGGATGAACATTTATATTTTTGTATAAATGTTGACCATGATTTTTGACTATGTATGACTGAGGCAGTGTTTACCAAAGAAACACGGTTGGGCTATGATATTTATTTAGGATGCCAACAACCCTTTTTGTTGTACTTTTGACCAAAAATGTATACAAATTATAGACAACACAGCTATTTATACCAGGAGTGTCTGGTACTGAGGTGTTAGCTACCATTTGACTGACCAGGTTAAGATGGTTGACCTTTAGTGCTTGAAAAAATATATTTATCTGTTGTATATAAACTGAATCAACAATATATGTTGACTTGCCTAGTTGCACAGCCTGGAGCATGTTGATAACAAACTGTCAAAATCGTTTCCTTCCATACTGGAGTCCTGGTGAAACAGTGTTGCAGTTTGGGAAGTGAGTGTAAATGTAGCAGACTGTTAAGGTGTATTTCCAAATAGCACAAGTTCCTGCTGTCTTTCCAACCCTGACCTGAGGTATTGAGGACAGATGCTGCCACCCTCAATGTAAATCTTGTGAAACATTCCATGGCAGGGATAGGCTTAAAAAAGTACTCTTATCATCAATCATCACCCCAGAATTGTTTGTAACCTTTAAAACAATGGGTTTAAAAACTGAAACTGTTCCAGAGACGCTGAAACTATTTGCTAATTGCAAAAAAAATATTTTGGAATTGCATTGAAGGAAAAAAAATACGTATATATGGTTATTTGTTTATGGTGGAAATCCAATTCCCTAAAAAAACAATGGTTCTCATGAAGAAACTAACAACTGAGTTAAAATTTGGTCACACAGAATCTAGGCTGAGCTTAAAATCTCTTTAATACAGGACTGGATGAGCAGTCTCATATTGAACTGGTTCAGCTACAGGTGAATCAGTGTCTGTGAACAGTCCAACACAGACTTCACCTTTCACTCTATAATTAAGGCTGCCATTTTAACTGTCACTTTTATCTGTGTCTCTTGGACATTTTTTGTGTCTTTTTCTTCATTGTGTTTTTCAGTAAGGCACACCGTGATGACCCGGGCGCTTTCTATTATGCGGTTGTGGTCAGAGCTCCGTCAGCATTTGTTTCTTCTGCTGCTGTTGTCTGACTTTTCGGGCTTCAGTCAATGCCAACAAGCTGGTGAATCAGCAGGATGTGTCATCAGGGAGCAGTGTGTCTGATAGGAGCCGAGAATAGGTCTTTTATTAAACTGCAGTGGGCAAATGGTCTGTTTGCGTTCTGATGCAAATACCATGAGTCAGGGATGAAGTATTTAAAGAATGTCTGGTTATGCACAAAGTTAGGAGGACTATCAGTTTGGACAAGGACGTCTGCATTTGAAGTGAATGCACCAGGATTAGAACTAATCAAAGGTGAAATTCATGTAGTTGGCTTGTCCTTTTAAAAGTGTGTGTTTTTTATTTTATGTCATCAGTAATATAGTGGCAAGTTAGATGAATATTAGCTGACCAAAAATTGCTAATAGTAAGACAAGAACTATAAAGCGCTATCAAACATTAACATTTAAACAACACAGTTTAAAATTAAAATAATAAATGTAGCTGAAAAATAATTGAAAGTAAGCATAGAATTTCATAAACTAATTTTTGATCAAAAGTTTAATGTAAATTTGTAACCTTTTAGCTAGAAATGTTTTTGAGGGATAAGGCCAAACTTTAACCAGAGAATATCGTAAATAGTAGTAGAGTGACCAAAATATAGCATAAGTTATAAAACCTAATCAGAAAAATTTGAGATTGCTGCTGATGCGGTCCAATGTTAGTCCAAAATGAATCCTGAAGTTCTTCCAGGAGACCCCACCCACATTAATGCACAGATCCAGAAAACGTCAAAAGTTAGCAAAAAGTACTCCTTGGTCGGAACCCTTCTCTGAGCCAGACACTGAAGTACCAGAGCTCAGAGGTAGCCAACAGACTTTTAAGATTTCTAACTGCTTACTCTTTGAATTTCCTTCTCACTTCTATATTTAACTTTGAAAAGTGTTTGTTATTCATCCACTTTTTTAATTGTTTGAAAGTGCACATTTTTTCTCTATACGTCACTTTAACTCTAAGTTAAACTGTTACATTGAACATTTCTGTTCCACGTTCCCACGACCACAGGTCTTTTGTTTGCCCACCTTGTGACAAACTGAGCCGTGTTGACATTGACAGTCCAAACATTAGATTACAGCAAGGACACGGGACCAGTAACTCCTCCCCCCGGCTCCTTAATCCCACCCTTAAATAATCCCTGAGGAAATCTCCTCTGCAGCACACGGTGCAGTGTGTGTATGTTCATATTGGGGGACCCGATGCAGGAGGTGGAGCAGTTTTCAGTCATGGAGTTGCCAGATTCCTCAGCACTTGTTTCTGACACAGAGAGCGTTGGAGTCAAAGTGCATCGCCTTCTCTGTCTTAATGTGTTTTTAACCTGGGTCTGAAGAGACAAGGAGTCCAGTTGGTTTTCTTTTTTGTTTTTTTTACTCAACCAGAAGCTTGATCACAAAGCTAGGAGAGGAGATTGAGAAGTTTGGTGAGTTGCCAAGTTTATTTTACTGCTCTTATATTTCAAGTAAAGTCTCGCTGCAATTCTCCTACTACATTATTTGTTTAAAGAATTACAAAGTTAAACTGGCCCTCAGTCTAGTCAAAAAGAAGACAGATGGTTTATTGAGGCAGAGACAAGTGTGTCTCCACTCCTGTACTTCAACCACATATGTGCACAGCCTTATTTCTTATTGCTCTTCTGATAAACACCTGTTGGTGATGGATGTTGTTACAGCCAACTGGGTCAGCTGTGTTATAGTTACATGTTTTTTTTTTTTCAATGAGCCGTGCCCTGAGTTTAGCTCCTATTTCCTTGGATCGCACGCTGGCGTCTCCTCCCCTCTGGAATATCTGTGACAGACCAGCTGTATCCCCTGACAATAGGCCCTCAGCGCTTTACAAAAGGGGCACATTTGCATTTGTATTATGTGGCAGCTTGTTTGGAGGCAACACGGACTCTCACTTTGTGTGTCAGGTTGAAACAGGGGGAGGGAAGCTCTGGGACGTTGGTGATTAACGCTCATGTCCACATTTACCACAGACACACTTTGCCTTTTTTCTAGAACAGAAATGACACTAAAACTCAGTTTTATTTTATCCCTTGAATTAATTTCTTGTCCTCGACCTAATTGATAATCTCGATGTAATTCTGGGTTTGTGAAACTATTCCACTGCTCGGTTGGGTAGTATAACTATCTATTCAAACATGCCAGAGCAAACTTTAGACTATTCCTCACTGTGTTATCTCCTGAGTGCTTCTTTAGCTAAAGTTTATCCGTGTTTTGTGCTCAGAACCGAAGAAGCGTCCTGTATGAGGGGTTGAAATCTCTGCCTATTTCTAAACTGCTACAGATGAAATGACCTGGAGGACTGAGAAGCTACATAGATATGTTTTCCTATAAATTGTTTTATCTTTTATCTATTTGTGCAGTGTGTATGTTTCTTCACAGGTTAACAAATATTATCTTTTAGACACTCATGGTCAGCTTTTAGTCATTCCTAGCCTTGTATTACTCCTCTTTGTTGCTATCTCTTTGTAATTAATTAGCTGTAATTGTGTAATTTCAGGCTATAGCTACAAACATCTTCATATTGCATTTGCTAACTTCTTTTGAATCCCTACATTTTTGCACGTTTTGCTGGGTTGGCTATATTTTTCCTACATGCTAGCTATTTATATGCTGACATTTGCTGTTCTTTTAGCCACATGGATTCATTTTTGTTGTAACTTGTAGTTTTCTTTCTACAGTTTAGATGGCTATGCAGCTGATTGGCTCGAATGATGCTAATCTGTTTATTGAATTTACCATTTCGTTAAAATGAACATATGCATTGTCCTTATTGAGAATACTTTATTTATATTGTTGTCTATTACTGAACAGAAGTTAAGTGCTACTTCAATTACATTTGAGTAACAGCTAGTGGCTAACCTTTACTTTTTTTGTGCTAGTAAAAGAGTAAATGCTTAACAAAGACAAAATAGTCCTATGGAAATCTGCATTAACTGCAGTCTTGGGTTTCACATGAGAAGTTGTTGGGTACTAATACTTGAAATACTTTATTAAATCTGGGGCCACTGGAACAAAAAGTCTGGAATTTGTTGGTTCAGGCTTTTACTGGAGGATTTGTTTTCATTGAAAATGATCGACTGTGGTATAATAGCACATATTTGGCTGTAAATCTACCAAAAACTTGACTTGAATTACCAGAAAAGTGAACTTACTCTGTATATTTAATTGGACATTGACAAACATAGGTCGTTTCTATTTGTAGATGACCAACAAAGATGTCCAACTCAAACTGAGGCTACAGAGGGGAGAGAAAATAACTCCCTGCATTCCAGCACTCACAGCAGCTGAAAGAATGCAGCATTTCCATCATGGCATGTCAGGGTTAAACTCCCATTCAGGGCAACTGGAGTCTCATTTGGCTGAGAGATTTCACTGCAGCCTGCCATTTGAACTTGGAAACTCTGGAAAAACACTCTTGTGTTTTAGCAGTAGAGTACAGAAACCTCATACATTTGTTGTAAATGTGGTCATTGTGGCAACAGAAGAGACCCCCCCCCCCCCAATTCTCTGGATCCACTTTTTTTCACCTATGTTTTAAGCTAAGCAGCTAATCCTTGTACAGGCCATATGGCTTAGACAGATCTGTCTCCTCCTCCTGAGGTAAAGGTTCTTCACTGTTAAAGAAGGCCTCTTGGACAAAATATGAGCGTCATGGATCTGCTGTAATTAAAAGAGATTACCCCAGCTTTCATGTGCTTTTGAGGGTTTCGTAGTTTTTCATTTATCCACATGGTGCTCCATCTCTTGTATTTTTTTATAAGCTAAAAGAAAGAAATAATGATTACAAGGTAAACAATGCTTAGAAGTCTAGCTTTTCTCTCCCTACAGTATTTGCAAACACTGTATATAGTGTGGATGGCAGACCACAGTTATCAAAAACATTTGGAAGTTAAGCTACTTGTTTGCTGTAAAACCTGGTCCTTTAACTGGATCATTTTAAAAAGGTCGTTTCAAGGAATTGAATATGAAACTTCATAAATTAATCGACTTCATTCCAAGATTTGCTCTTAAAGTGTGATTTGTAGCTGTCTTGTAATGGTTGATTAGTGTCCCACTTGCTTTTCCTTTTCTGGTTCTTATCTGACACCCATCAGGCCTAAAATGGTTGATGTTGTGTCGCCATACACAATGCCGTCGGAAACCGAAGTTCACGTGGCGAGAAACTTTCTCACCAAGATTTTGCGAAGCTCCATGAGGTATTATTAGCCGTCTGTTTCCTCTTGTGTTTTCTGGTAGTTGAAGACAACCTAAGAATCATCTGTGGTCATAATTTTTTCCCTTCATTCTGTCATTTTCCTCTGTATCATTCAGTATTTTTTAAACCTAGGGTAGTACTAGTTTTTGGTAATTATCGCTAGTTTGTCATTGTCCGGCCTTGTGAAATTACATCCACCTCATGCTATCTCATGGTTTCATCCCATTTACCTTTTAACTCATTAAGTGGTGTTGTTGTGAAATAAAAGTGAACCATTAAATATGCAATTATTTTCAAATTCAACATGCTCACCAGGAAGAACCGCTTCAAAAGGTATCGTATGCTTAGATTGACTAGTTGTTATGGTAATGGTGATGAAAAAACAAAAGAGAAATCATGACTTTAATACAAGAAAACTTAGGACTTGCAGATAAAGAGTTAAATATTCGACAATGTAAATGAATAACTGCAGTGGTTGTGTAGTTAAGAAAGTTCATAAACTTTAAAAGTCAAGTAAATAAGTAAAAAAAAACTCAAAACAAGGAAAGTGGTCTAAAGATCTTCCTTGTGAGCACTTGGAAAAAAAAAGTTCACCAATTATTTTAATGTCAAGTATTTTGTACAAGTAAAATTGTGTTATTTGCTCTGTGCTTTGTAGAAAGAATGATACTGCCTCGCGGCCCCATTCCTGGCACTCCTCCAAGCTGACAGAAGAGGAGTTTGAGCCCGCTGGGAGGGAAACCCCCCTGGCACCAGTCTGGCAGCCAAAACATGAAGCAAGGTGAGTCCTTTTTCCGCATTAAACCAAGTTGCATTGAGACATGAAATAGTCAAAGTAACCATCAGGGTAAAAGTTCAGTTTCAGGAATTAAAATCAGGTTTAATCCTCTGCTCCTCAGACCATGTAATATAATGACTGTATAAATCCACCACAGGGTGTAAAGCTCATTTCCAGCAGCCATCTTTGCAAAGTAGACATAATGTTTTACTCCTAACAAATTATGGAAACCCACCACACACTGAAACAGTGGTTGGTGGTAGGTTCGCAAAGATTCCAAATTTGGTCTGTATGATGAGTGTTGCAGACATGCAGAGAGAAGAGTTGGTGATGAAATGTTCAAAACCTACATTTGCACAAGCTCTTAATCCTCTTTATCATTCAGGTAGTAACACCACACTAAGGTAACAATTAACTTTTACTGGATAAACAATGAATGCCTCTGTGCCAGCTAAATGTGCTATCAGTCATTGTATAATATCATAACTTAACATTGTTATATTTAAACATTAAAGTTTTGCTCTCCTTACCAAACAGACCCAAAGACTTGTCTCCAGAAGTGGAACAAAACCTTCAACATCAACTAACCACACAGCCGACCTCCGTAAACAACATGGAGAAACTTGACCATCCGTCTCATCCTTACAAACAAATCCGTCTTTCGCCCACCAAATACATGAGTGGTGCTGAGACACTCGGTGGACCAGGGGCCAAATCAGAACAAGGTTTTATCAACAGCTCTAATCCTCCTGTTCATGACCAGAGTTTGTTAGCTAGGAAGGGTACCAGCACGGAAAACATTTTCTTCAAGGGTCTTCAGGGTGATGGACCTCCACAGACTGGGCGCCCTAAGTACCTCCAACCAACACTTGGTAATGGAGGTTGGGAAGGGTCACAGGCAGAGGAGGTGCCTGCCTCTCGTGTTTCCATTGCAGGGAGAACCAGCATTGGCCCAGTGTGGCAGGTACCAGACAAAAAGAACCAGTCTTCTCCACCCCCACTTCCTCCACTGCGCAGTGACAGCTTTGCTGCCACAAAGGTGTTCCCTTACACTGAAGGGCCCAATGGACCAACAAAGACCCAGGGCAGATCATCAGAAAAAAATGCTGAAAATATCAACCAGAACAGCCTCAAATCTCAGAAGGAGAAACCCTCAGAGGTCAGGCACAGCTTCACTCCACTCCCCACTAAAGAGTTTCTCCATCCCAACACAGCAGCGGATCACAACCACAACCAGCTGCACCCCAACAAACTCTTTTCTTTGTCTAGTACCGATGTCAGACATACTCCTTATACCCATGAACCTGCCCACCAGAGGCAGTACAGCGATGAAAGCCCCTTCTATCTGCAGACCAGGTCAGCTCATGCCACCAGGGCTCAAAGTGTGGGAAGCTACTATCGTAGTCTCCAGGATCTACCCACAAATCTTTTAAGCCGCATGCAGATCAGGAACTCCACAGTGTCTGCAGTAAGTTTAGCTGCAAATCCAACAAATCTTGACAGGAGGGGTCACAGTAGGCTCATTGGTCCAACGAGCCAGAACTCAGGTCAGACGACAGAGCTCCAAGCAAGACAGGGCAAAAATGACAGTTGGAGGGCTGAAACAGGTAAAACCCTGTGGGCAAACAACAGTGAACCAAGCTACTCAAGTTCATTGATGGGGAACATTGCAACAAAATACTCTCTACCTCAGTCCCAGATGCCTTACAGTGAAACAAAGGAGGGCAATTGTCAATCCCTGTTTGGAAATGGTCTTTATTACGAACACCAAACCTCAGGACTTTCAAATCATAGCCGCAGCCCAGACGATGCTTCCAGTAGAGTTGAAGGACAAAGTAGTGACAAGGACAGACGTTTTGCAACTCAGATAAGTAATGATCATAAAGTCAGTCTTCATACACAGCTAGATCCATGGGTTCCTCAAGAAGACTACAGAATCTCCCCCCAGAAAACCCCTCTACTTCACTCTCTGGCGCAGGAAAGTAGAAGTTTGACTGAAAGGCAACAGGCGATGATGACCTCCAGTGTCACTTCCACCCAAGATAGTGGTGACATGTCCAGCAATGTTGGAAAAATGAATCGGCGTAGCGACCGTTACGCCACGACTCTACGCAAAGAAATCCAGCAGAAACGAGCTCAACTGCAAAAGAGTCGCAGCGCTGCAACGTTGACTTGTAATGTGGAAGAGGAGGAGGAAGGAGAGGAGTGGAGATCCACTGGGACGTCTGCATCTACCAGTGCTCCCTTCTCTAACACCTACAAAGACCACCTGAAAGAAGCACAAGCCAGGGTTCTTCAGGCCACTTCCTTTCAGAGACGGGATCTTGGACCAGAGGCACCGGCAGTGAAAACCTCAAGTGGACGCATCAGAGGACGTAAACGCTTCACTTTGGCAAAAGGAACACACTCGTTCTCAGAGCCTGACAAAATTGACAAGGTAGGAGTAGAAAAAGACCCCATCACAGGTTCTTTTGGAGAACAGCCAGAGTTCTTAGAAGTTAAACCAGCCTTTTCCAAACCCACACTAAAGACAAGTCAGGCCACAAATTCAAACCTCGACTTGAGTGAGCTTAGCAAACACAAGGAGAGGGATTCTTCTGTGAAACCTGATGAAACCAACCCATCAACTGACCCAACAAATAACCCGACCCTGGATCATAACCAAACTGTGGAGCAGCAGAGGCTTGGGACTTTTGCAGAGTACCAGGCCACTTGGAACAAACAGAAGAAGTCACCAGAGGCAAGAATTCAAGGGAGGTACCACTCTGCTGAGAACATCCTGGACGCAGACCCCGAGGAAAAAGCCGTTTGCATTCACGAGAAATCTAGATCTTCTCCTTCTGCTGACTTCTACACACAGGTGCATTTTAGTAAAGAAAGCCATGCTTTAATGTGTTGCCATGTGGTGCTACAATATAATTACTGACTTTATACAGTGTTGTACTGAGGTCTTGTTAGAATATTGCAAGCAATTATTTCTCATTAAATAGAAGTCCTTTTTCTTTCTTCAGAATCTTTCCTTAACATGGACTGAGAGTGAAGCACAGAGCAGCAACACAACCAGGTGAGATTTTTAATATGACTCTAAAGCACATAAAACAACTATTTCATCACATTTGTCCTTCAAAAAACATTTTTGTGTAAAGTTGTGAATACCAAGCCAAATAAATGACCTTGGTAATAACCTTACTTTTGGCAAACACTTCACAAAAACATATGTATATGTCTGTATTTGCACAAATTACATAAACGATAATTGAAAAATAAATCTTTGCTGTTGTATATTGAAACATAGTACAAACCTTTGTTGAAACAGTGATAATGTGCTACAAAATTAAAAATGTGTAATTATTTTAATTACAATTATTTATGATTTAATTTAATTATAAATTAAATTGCTATTTCAAGGTATGTTAAAGTGAATCAAAAAGTAAAATTTCTAAACATAGCTACAGTTTCTCTGAGAAGTGTTTTGAGAATATTTTGAGAATATTTTGCAAGAAAGCTTAACATGTTATAAAATTCCAAATGATGATTTAATGATAGTAGAGAAAAAAGCTTCATATAAAAAATTTACAAACTGTCAAAACATAACAACATGTGATCCAAAAATCTATAATGAAATATAGGGTGGAAAAAGCTTACAGTTCATTCTTGCCATATTTCTTTGCTATTTATCAGGAGTGTTTTTTTAAGTCAACTACCAAAAAATAACTTTTAGTTCAAAAGAATGTTTAGTCTAACTGTTCTGATTTTTCTGATTTTCAGCAGCTACATAAAAATTAGAGAATGACAAAGTTTTTATTATTCTATTAGCTGTTACCTTTATCCTCAAACCATATAATAGGAAAAAGCTGTGTGTACAGGAAGATCAGGGTGCTTTATTTTCCAGTTATTTATAAAAGTCTTATTTCTTATGTGTGTTTTATTTCTGTTGTACTAACATCAGTGAGTGTTTATGATGTGTGAAGGTCTTGTTTATTGGTGAAAAATTGAAGTTTTCTTTATTTTGACCTTTATAGAGCAAAGTCAGAGAACATTGTAGGATTTAAACCTGACCACATCCCACAGTCTAACCCATCAGACCCCAGAAACAAGGACCTAGTACCAGGCTCCTCTGACCACGGGCCTAAACTAAGTACTGCTGATCCCTCCCAAACCACACCATCCTCCGGTCCTGGAAGCCTCAGCCCTAGCCTGGGCTCTCAGCTTCTCCAGACCAAGGGCCTCCTGCCACCACCCAGATCCCATTTAGGCCCAGAAACCACATCCTCCTCCCAGGAATTCCCCACTGGCGCCCAAGTGGACCAAGCAGAGCTCCTACCTCTGTCCGACTCCTGCACTGACACCCAGCGTTCCTCTGCTAGCCCCGCCCCAGCCAACTCCCCTCGTCTCAGTAGGACGTCTGCCCAAGATGTGAGTGGAAGAGATGTGGAAACAGAGCAGGAGAGGCAGCAACAGCCACTGCTACCACCACCACCACCACCACCTCAACTATCCTCCTCCTCCTGCATGATACCCACAGCAGATGGTACGCGGTCTCCTTCGCCACAGTTTGCACCCCTCAGACTGACTGACAAGCCACCAGCCGTGTCCGTGCAGGATGACTCACCACTCAGGTAAGAAGCTTAACCCCCGTGCTGCAGGTCCCATTGCCCCTCGTTCGTCAAAAGCTGTTCCTCTAGAAAAGACTTGACTACAGCTCTGTGTAAACAAGTTCAGGAAGAAACTGAGAAAGAACTTCAAATTCTTAACTTCTCAAATGCTTAAGATAACATAATGATTTTAACTATGCTAATTATTTTTCTAGTTAATTTTACAGTACAATCTTACAGTATTACATTTATAATTATTTTGTGTGGCCTTTTTGCCTAGTTCCTAGTTCTGCTGTGTGTTAATGCTAAACTGTTGCTATTTATTGTCTATCCTTTATTTTTTAGCTATTTCTGTTTTGAAGTTTTATCACTATTTAGTCTATTTAATTTAGTCATTTCATGCTCTCTTATCTATGCTATTTTTCATCATTTAGCTTTTCAAGACACAAAAAAGTAAGGAAATGGCAGAAATGTGATCTATACATTAAATTATAATAATACAAGATACATGTGCTAAAATGGAGTGCATTCATCAGCAGCAGGTATTTTTTACATGATCTGATGTTCCAGGTACAACATTTAATTACCACCTGCCTGTCTTATTAAAAATGTACTTTGTTTTGAGCAGTGAAACATTGTCACTGCATTTGATTCACAAAACAGCTGCAAGTGCCTGAAATGCTGATGAGCGTAAGACATGTTGTTGATTTCCACCAGAGATGAATCAAGCTGGAGGCTGTAATTTTCTTCCAGCCACACGAGTGCCATGACCTTTAGTTTCCACTGCAGTCCCTTCTGAATGGTCCCTCCTTTAATTAGCCTCAGACAACTGCAGCTCTGATGTTTGTCAAAAAAAGAAACCTTTTTTCTACCTTTTTATCTTGATTTATTGTCCTTACCCAAGATGATTATTTCTTATTTCTATAGTTCTTTTTTGCCATATACAGGTTGAAACACAAGCTAGACATAGCATCAAAAGCCAGGTGTAATTATACACAATTTGCCTCCTAATATGTATCTGTTTGACTTTGATTTTTAGTTCTTTGAACGTCTCCACTGAGGGATGAAAAAAAGGGGCTTCTTATTATCATTTTTGGCTATTAACATAGTTACAGTTCATCCAAAGGGCATGCACAATGTCCCTTTAATTAGATTAAGAAACAGCAATGTAATTGTTTTTTCTGTCATTTTTTTATTTTATTAAATCATTTCTTTGTCTGTTTATTTTTAATTCAGTTCAGAGAATGGTCCAAACGCTGTAGAAGTGATGGATTTGAACAGTCCAGGGAGGAAAGTCCCCGTGAAGATTATCCACACTGACAGCACCTTCGACCGGGTGGGACAAGCCTACCTTTTTCAGAGCAACGAGACCTGCAGCACCTTCAAACCTCTGCCACTAAACCCCAGCGTGGGTGCCTCAGAACACCAGGTGTCGTCTTCATTCAGCGCTTACACACGACCGGTGATTCAGGACCCAGGTTCAGCATCAACCAGAGCTCAGGACCCAAAGACTGCTCAGCACACAGAGGATGCCAAGAGAGAGGAGCTGGCCCGGGACATCATGGGTAAAGACAAGTCACTGGTGGACATTCTTGACCAGAGTGGCAGGAAGACCACCATGGATCTCATGGAGGGGCTGTACCCCTCAGAAGATCACATCCTGGAGGGAACCCACCAAAGGAGGAGAGCCTCTACTAGCGGCAGGCTTCCTGTCTCCTCTCCCAGGAGCATGGAAAGGTTGGAAGGAGGACGTTTGTAGAAATATTACTGTTATAAAACCTTTTGACCTGCTTTTAGCCTGCCCTCTAGTGGTCAAGAGTTTTACTGCAGTTCCATTTGAAGGCCAATATCATGAGTTGAATTCAAATGAGAATAGAAAGAAAACAACATGCATTTGCTTTTCTTTTGCTTAGGAGGGAGGATGAAGAGGAGTTGACAGCATCTGCAGCGTCCTCCTTGGTGCCCAGCTCCTCCTACTACAACACCTCAGCTCCCAAAGCTGAGCTCTTGATCAAGATGAAGGACATGCAGGGGCAGCTGGAGGAGCAGGACTCTGAGGACGAGCTGGACGTTGACCTGGCCAGTAAAAAGGTAGAAATACAACCAGTAAACCAGTATCAAACCTTCATTCATCAGGAACACAAATAGATTTCTTCTGTATGGATCTTCCTGTAGGATTGTATTGATAAGCTTACATGTTTTTTTTAATTGTTTTTAATTTATTCAAATGCATCAGATATTTGCAAAGTTTTTATAAAGTAAAGACTCAGAAACATGTTATCGAGTTGTGTTAAATGCTGACTGGAGCTCTACTACAGTTCTGGTTCTCATCCTTTCCAGCAAGAGCTGATCTCCAGCCTGGCCAAGAAGCTGGATGTGCTGCGGGAGGCACGGCAGAGCCTGCAGGAGGACATGGAGGATAATGAGACTCTGGGCCGGGAGGTAGAGGCCACTGTGCAGCGACTATGTCAGCCCAAACAGTTGGAAAAGTTCCGCATGTTTGTGGGGGACTTGGACAAAGTGGTGAGTCTGCTGCTGTCACTGTCAGGGCGGCTGGCCCGCGTGGAAAATGCCCTCAACAGCCTGGAGGAGGACGCTTCGCCAGAGGAGAAGGTAACTGCTCCGTGAAACACTAGTAACATCAATGTCCTTTATCTCATGAAAATGACTAAAATCCGACCTTCTTCAGCGAACTCTGACGGAGAAACGCAAGCTCCTGATGCGGCAGCACGAAGACGCCAAGGAGCTGAAGGAGAACCTGGACCGCAGAGAAAGCCTGGTATCTGGGATCATGGAGGTCCACCTGGACGATGGGAGCTTGGATGACTACCGTCACTTTGTCAAGATGAAGTCAGCCCTTATTATTGAGCAACGAAAACTGGAGGACAAAATCAAGCTGGGTGAAGAACAGCTGAAGTGCCTGTTGGACAGTCTGCCGCTGGAGCAAAGATCTCTGTTCTGACACAAAACCTACGGTTCTGCTATGAATGAAGTCCAGCTCAGCAGTAGGTGCAACCTGTAGCATTTATCACTTCTACATTTCAGGATTTTTGTTGTTTGTTTTTTTTTCCATATAATGTTGTTATCACTCGGAAAGAACACAATTGGAATAGTTTGCATGAATCTACTATTGTAATTTTTTTTTAATATGCTGACATTACAAGAACAAAGAAAACCAGGGCTGTCACTTTTGACCCAAAGTGCAAAAAATGAGTTTAATTTATTTTTGTTTGAGAACATGTCTCACTCTCTGACAGTGTCTGCAGTACATTAAAGCTAAATTCAACTTAAAATCTCTGCGCTACTTTAAGTAGTTCAGGCAGACAGTTATGCCATTTACGGTAGTTGTTTTGCAGTTAGTAAGCAAGCTGACAACTTGTGGTGACCCTGGGCTGACATCGCATCTTCTGAAAATGTGTTTATTTCAGGGTCAGGAGCTTTACAGAACCTAAAGTATCCCTTTTTTACATGGCAGTAGTGATCACCAACCACGTATGCCTTTGTGCCTGTACACGCTGCTAACTTACTGGGAATTGTTGAGTAAATGTGCGACTGGATATATGTGTCGTTTTGCTGTAAAATGAACAGTCTGACAAATACAAGTGAAGGTGGTTTAAAGGTTAATGAGTCTGACAAAACCTCAAATAAGTCATTTTCTCTGGAAGTGTTTTGTAACTACTAATGCCTTTGTGCCTGTACAAAAGGAAAGAACAGCTCACTGCTTTGGCAGAAACACATCTTGTTTTACAGTTGTTAAACAAACCGGTCAGTCCACTGCATTTCATGCATAGTGTTATTGCAGCTATCAATGCCTCTGTGCCTGAGTATGTTCATTTACTTTGGAACACTGCTTTGGCAAAAGAAAAAACTGCAGTGGTCTTAGTCCACTGATACCCAGGAGCATTAACACAAGCTGCAAAATGAGAGTCTTATAAAAGGGATTTTTATGTGATTTATTCAAACTTTTAAGGGTTAAAAGTGGCAGCCCTTTGTGACACAGGTATTTGCTGTTTTTTTTTTTTTTTTTTTTTTTGGTTTTTTTTTTATCCTTTTAAAGGCTGATGTAAGGACGACACAGAGAATGTTTGCCTCTGTATATTTGGTGAAAAACGACAACGGCAGATGTGGGATCCTATGCTCCAAACTCTGTCAACTCCAAATGTTTAAACTGAAAAACACCTTTTTTAAAATATTTTTATTTATTTGACACCAGTTACGCTCTGATAAAGAACGTATCCAACTGTCTTTTCAAAGATAATTTAATAGTTGAATAGACACTCACCAAATTCAAAAAATCGGTGCAGATCTTTATCCTACAGTGTTTAGTTTTTTTTTTTTGCTTTACTTAATTATTTGTGATTGTTAGTTGTATTTAACACAGTATGCTGTTGTATTAATTTGTGATTATTGCTGGATGTAAAATTTTTCACTTTTTTTTAGTAATTTATTGTAGCCTTGTTGAAATTGTGTCCGACAGAAGGTAGAAAGTTTTCCCAGAGTAATTGGATTTCAGCCGTGACAAAAGGTTTCTTTAAAATCTTCATACACCAGCTTTAGTTTACAACCTGAAGGTGTTATAATCTTATCACATTTTCTTCTTGAACTCTATTTTTCGCTCTTGAATAAGTAGACGTTTATGATTTAGTTCTGCTCTTACGGAGGCCGTCTGGCCTGTTTAGCTGAGACTTCATTACGATTATTGTCTTTTTTCTATTTCAATAACTGAGGTGCAGCTGGTGTTTTTTAATATTATTGCTATTGTTATGAAGGTAAAATCTTACAGTTAGCACTTTACTCTCTGGTTTGGTCTCCTTAGGAGACGCTACATTTATAATGTATATTTAAATGAATGACGTGCCTACTATACCTTCTTACTGACGACTGACGGCTGGGCTGATGAGGTCGTGACCCCCAGTACACACTGTGTATAGTCCTCACTCTGTATGAAGTGTGCTCCTTCACCAGCTACAAAAAAAATAAAGATGAAAATGAGATATTACTTGTTTGTTTCTTATAACAACTTAAGTAAAACATAAAATAAAAATGGACAGCAGTTAGCACAAGCATGTTAAAAACATGAAAATTGTCAGAAAAAAACATTAAACAAGGGTCAGAGTGTGCATATATAATGAGCTCACAAGGACAATAAGTAAATTTAAAGGTTAGCAAAAATTACTGGAAGACAGAAAAAGACCTCTGTCTAACTCTGATTTAGGCATTTTTTTAGGTTAAAGTCTAAAAACATTTAAGATATTAAGAAATGGTAAAATATGAAAGTTTTCTCTTAGATTGGCCAAAAAAAAGTAAAGGTAGCCAAAACAAACAGTTGGTTAAACTATAGCTTTTCTTAAGCCAAAAATAGTCTTCAGTGAGCAAAAATAATAGCTAACATTTCTAGGGCCCAAGTTCATCAAAACTGCTAAATGATAGCCCAGAACTGGCTAAAATAACTATTAATGATACTAATATTAATAACTCATAGAACAAAAATGTAATTTTTTATTTAAAAGATGTTTGAGGGAGCATACCAAATTTCAGCTCCAGGTTAGGTCCCCGTGCCAGACTTTGGACACACTTCTGCAGAGCGCACACAAGGCTGTTGTTTCACAGTGTTTAGACTCAGCTGATGGTAAGATAGAATAACTCTTTTACTGCTCTTTTACTGCACCTGCTGTATGAAGGATAATGTGTTCTGTTTTTTTTTTTCCATCAGGATTGAAACCTGACACCAGTGTGGCTACAAACCCTCAGAGACCAGAAAAATATTTAATCTCTACCACACTGTTAACACACAGGGGCTAGGCAGAGTGTTGGTTGTCTTTCACTTCTATATAAATATAAAAACACACATCCAATATGTTGATGTTTACACACGAAGTAGCATGTCTTTGACCTGCTTTTACAGAAGTCAACCCTGAATTATATTAAATGAGTCCAGTCCTGAAACAATAAGGACAGATGAATATAGACCTACATCCTGTCAATCATTGATAGCCCTGGCAGGAAACTGTGGCTGGGTTTTTGCCAGCTAAAGAAGGAAGCATATTTCTGCATTATAATTAAACTGAGAGATGTGGAACAACTCGGAGCCGGCGGTCAGGTACGACTTTTGTCATTTTTAACGTTTAAGTTATATTTGTAAAACTAATCTGGGAAATAGATTTAATTCTCTCTTTTATTTCACAAGGATTCTCAAATATGCGCATTTTATACGTAAGCGCTTTAGGTGGACTTAAAGTAGCATCAACAAAAGGCCATGTCTTTTAAGTCTTAGTTTGTTGTGGTCAGAGACTAACCTGGCCGGGGTCCCACAGTGATGACCATGCCCATATCTTTCAGGAAGCTGCGTGGACTGTATGCTGCGTCACAGAACAGCATTGGAAAAACCAAGGCGCTGTGAGGCGAAGTCAACAGACAGGAGCTGAAGGGGTCGAGATACAGGGACCCCACCCTCTTGAAACACCACGAGAGAATTTTCCAGGACTTCCTGTCTTGCTGCCTCTCTCTTCCCATGACGTCCTTTGCTCACACGGCCCATCCGCAGCTTGTGGCTCTCTGGCTGAGCTGCTTTGGCTGGACTCTCACTGCCATGGCCCTTGGTCTCGATCAGTGGAGGGTTTGGCTGGTGTCTGACAGGGACATCATCACCTCCGGCATGGCTTGGGTCGGTCTGTGGAGGGCCTGCTTTCACAGCCACACCGTGGTGTCACCTGGCTCCGGGTTTACACACTGCAGGTCCATCAGTCTCACTGAGGCCTTCACACCACCAGAGATTGTGTCAGGACAAATTCTTATGGTCCTCTCCTTTGTTGTGGGGCTCTTGGGTAATGCGGGAGGTATTTATGCCCTAAGGAACACCTACTTTGGGTTGGAAGCAAACACACCGGTCCGCTTGTCTTTCTGTGCTGCAGGAGCTTTATGTTTGTTGGCAGCAGCGATATCTCTCATACCTCTGATGTGGAATCTGAGCTCAGTGGTGACCAACCAGACCATTGCGTTCCCACCTGAGTTCCAACTGCCCGCAGCGCCTCAGTCGCAGTACGTTGGGTACAGCATCAGCCTCGGGGTCGTGGGGACTGTCCTGATGTTCGCCTCTGGGATTATTTTCTGCAGATACAAGTTACCACAGAGACAAGCACCTTCAGTCACATCATCGCCTGAACATGATGGGGCCGACAGTGGGGGGGGCAGAGAAAATACAGCATTTGAGTTTAATGAACACTTTTGAACAGTTTGCTTGTGGAAAATACAACATAGACTTCAGCCTGATGTTTCTTGTACTCTCTTGAGTTTCAGGTAACCCTGAAGTACCTGTGCCCTACAATAATTAAAAATCCTAACTGCCCCTGCAGTGGTAACACTCCCACGTAGCAGGTGCAGCTGCAGTTACTGATCTACTTCACTGACAGGCAGAAGGAATGACTCACGCTGTGGACAATAGTAAAGTCTTCAGGACTCAGGAGACAGAAAACAGAAAAAACTTTGGTTTGAACAGATTTTGTTAAAACTTTTTCAGGTATCATTAAAGATGATTCATTATATTAACAAAGTTTGGTCAAGCTGGAGAGCATTTGTAACAGAAATGTACATAGATTTTTACAATATGAAATGATTTGATGGTATTTTCTCTTTTTGTGTTGTTGAATTTTTAAAATCTCTCTTTTAAAGTCTCTCTTTCTCGCTTTCTCTCTCTTTCTTTCAATCATCTAAATCGAGTCGTCACTCCCAGTCCTTCTCCTACGCTGGGTTATTTTACCAATTTTATAACAACAACATAAAATGTTTTCTTAATTATTATGATTTTATATTATCAATATATTTGTTGATATCTATCTTAGATCAAATTTTGAATTTTTTTTATCATAATTTCTCACAGTCTTACGTAGCCCCTAAAGGGACATGGGGGGAGGGCGGCATCTCGAGAACCCTTAGGTTAAGCACAGGCAGTTGTGCTTCCTGTGCGTATGCCCCTAGGCTCTTTCTTTCATGACGTATAATCCATTATTATTATTATTATTATTTTTATTATTATTATTATTATTTTTATTATTATTATTATTATATATTTCGTGATAAATTTCACGTTATTTCGTAATATGTTTCGCGTAATTACGTGATAACTTTTACCTTACAGTGACCCCTATCTTTATCGCGGTTCTACTTTCGCTTCCTCAGTTCATCGCGGATTTTATTTTATCCAATCTCGCGACATTAAAAATGTTTTAATTTACATTATTTTTATTATTTTGTGAAAGAAAAACTGTATATAAATAAACGATAAGACATTTTGCCTCACATACATACAGGGTAATACATTAAAATAACAAACAATAATGTACAGTACGCCGAGCATGTCATATGTGACGTATGTACTATAGGGTGAACATTTGATTAATGTAGGGTACCTCAGTTAGACACAGGAGGGCACTGTTGTTGTTGTTCGACTGTTGATAACAGTGTAGGAAGGTTTTCTTTCCCCCGTGGCCCTAGAGGGGCTCCGTAGTTCTGACCTCGTGATCACAAATCCTCGAGGATCAGTAGTATTTACAGTCTGGTGTTCTGGACAGCTTCAGCACTCGCTTGATAAAGAGTTCAGAGAGTGTTTACCTCAGATCAATGCAGAAGAGGTGCAGAACGGGACTATTGTCCTGTGGAAAAAGTGAAAGAATATTGTTTCATATGTTTTATTCAATCGTAACCGAGCAACACTATTTTTCAGCTAACTGGCAAAGACATCATTGCAAAACATAACACAAACTGACATAAAAATTGGGTTAGGAGGGAAAGAAAAAGTGGCATAAAACCCCAAAAAGTCTTACCCAGAGGAAATGAGAATATACTGCTTTTACCATGCATCAGTATATCGGGATATTTGACTTCTTTGCAAATGATAAATTAAAGCGACTGTGAAGTGAATTTATTGCATTGAAGAAACACTTTTTTTAACTTACCTTTTTTACGTATACATTATATGTTGATTAAATAGCTGTAGCTGTTTGACATAATATGATTCAGTAATTGTATTGTTGCTGATCTAGTTCAAGAGATTTAATATTAAAAAAATTTTTTTATGCTCTGCCATAAATTATTCCTGAGACACCAGTTCTCATTCTGACTTGGAAAAAGTGCAGACGCCCAACGTGGGGCTCGAACCCACGACCCTGAGATTAAGAGTCTCATGCTCTACCGACTGAGCTAGCCGGGCATACAAGTGCACTACAATGTTTTACATTATGGATGAAGACTTTACTGCTTTCGCTCATATTTATTTTTTTCAGTAATGGAATATATATTCCTAATATACGTCACCAAAACTTTTTTCATCTTTGCTGACTTTCCCTTTCTTTTTTGTTAGCCTCTTTCAAACTCTGTAACTTCGAAAGTTTTTGCCTAATAATTGATCTGGTTTTATACAAAATACTTGGTTTCAATTTCGTTGGTTCGGAGCGTTCGTAATGGACACTTGACAAGATTAAAAGGATTATGGCCCGTACGGGGATCGAACCCGCGACCTTGGCGTTATTAGCACCACGCTCTAACCAACTGAGCTAACCGGCCTGGCACTCCCCTCGTTGATGAATAATTAACCAATCTACTTACAGTGTCAGTCATTTCTGTGTCATACAATTTCTGGGCACGACTGACATAGATTTTGATGAGAGAGTTCGCATTATTCTCATAAATGGTATCAGTTGCCATAGCTACCCAGGAAAGAGGGCGAGACTGATCACGTGACCTAGCAAAGATGGCGACCACAATGCAGGATGGATGTCACTGTGAGTGAGTACTACGTGTTATTATTCTACCGTTATGTGCAAAAACCCGCGCATGGTTTTATTTCAGGCCGCCGTCGTGGAGTTTAAACCGAGGTTAACTTACGAAATTGTTTTCTTCACGATGTGAGCTGGGTTCAGTGTTATCAGCCTCAGGGTGGCTCCTACATTATCGCTTTGAGAAAGGCAGGGGCCGCTACCATGAGCTGAGCCTATGGGATACTTTAGTGGTAATCATTACTCAGCTATATCAGCTAATCATCGTTACTCAGCTTATCTTGAGTCAGGTAGTACACACTGCCATGTGTATATTCACTTTGCACTATTCTCTTTGTCTATGATTGTCTTTTATTCTCTTTTTGTTTCTCGTCAGGATTTAAATGGATCTGTGTTTTGAATATTGGATCTGCGGTTACGTTGTTGATCATCACCACTTTATCAGAAAAGCAAAATGGCCCTCAATGTCTTCGGTAAGCATAGCTACACGTCATAAAAGGCTTGTTGTGTACTAAAGGTGTGTATTGTTTGAGTTCACTCTGGTTAATAATTATGCAAGGAAGTCTGGCTCTAATTGTTGTGTAAAATGTAGTATTTCGCCAGCTAGTTTAAGAGTATGGGTGAAAATTATGGGTGAGAATTGCAAAAACTGACTGGCAGACAGTAGTGGCAGCAAGTCCCATAGACAACATCAAAGGAGCAACAGGGAATGTCAAAGGAGTCAGTGTATGACTTTTTTGCCTTTATTATTTTTTTTTTCCATTTATTGAGAATTTAAAAACGTGTATGACTTTTTTGCCTTTATTATTTATTTATTTTTCCATTTATTGAGAATTTTAATACATTCTATAAGTAATTTTTTAGTGATTTGATACCAGCAACTGATAGCGACTAAAATTAAGAGCCGCAAAAAATACAAGTGGAAGTGAAAGTAGAATTTTATCATTTTACTTCAGATTATCACGTTTCAGTCAGTAGTTGCTGTATACAGCCATGTAGGGGCGCTGTGGCAAAAGAAAAAATTATCTGATCTACTATTTACAATCTTTTTCTTTGAAATGTTCTCTTCCTAGATCATGATGAATACAGACCACCAGTGTGGAAGTCCTACTGTAAGTTCCATTTCTGTGACATGGTTGTAATCTTCATCATTCGACTGAATATTTTTTGTCAGATAACTTCTGTTTTTTTCTTTGTGATTATTTCTTAATTTACTTAATGTTTATTTACACTTGGCTTTATTCTTCTCCCACAGTGTATCAGCTCCAGCAGGAGGCGCCTCACCCACGCCGACTCACCTGTACCTGTGAGGTGAGATCACAGTCATGTCCAAGCCTCTGTGTTAATGTGTTCATGTCTCTTATTAGAACTTTTATTGGTATTTTTTGCTCTTTTCATGCTAGTCCTTTGTGTGAAATGTAAGTGTGTAAAAATACATGCACTGGTTATCAGAAGTTAATAATGTCATGTCAGCTGGCATTTATCTAGTCTTTTTCAGTCTGGCTCAGAGCACCGGTTGGACCAGAAAGTTCACTTCAATGTCATTTCAACAGTTGTGTTTTTTTCCACAATGATTTAGAGATTTAGTCCTGTTTTATGAAGCTTTAAGAATTGTCGTGTGGGTTGGTATTTTCTAATGTTTGTCTGAAATACGTCGACGTTAAATGGGTTTCGTTCAACCTCGTTGCGGAGAGTGATGAGCAGCCAATGAGCAGTTGCCAGTGACTAGTTCCTTTTTGTCACATGTCAGTGAGTCAGCCAAAAGGTTGGAAAAATTAACCTCAGACAATGTGTTGGGCTCGAAGCTTCAGATGCTTAAAAGGCCCATTCCCTGACAGCTCGTTGATGTAAACCCACATTTACCACGAAAGGCTAATGTGTTTGCAGCAGATTAAAAGCCCAGACCTCAAAACACTTAAAAGTGACTTTTTTTTTCCTGAGGTCAGAACATGTTAGTGACTTTTTTTTTCCTGAGGTCAGAAAAGCTGAACAAAGTGCAAACATATATCAGTCTTTTGTAAAAAAAATAAAAATACTGTAAGGACAGGACACACTTGTTTTGGAGTAAAGGGAAAGATGACTGTGTGCATCAGAGCAGTGACCATATACTGTATGGTATCAAATTATTAAATAAATACATTTAAGATACATTTAAAAACACTTTGGAGTTCTTCCTGGCATAGTTTTACAGTCTGTAATTAAAATGTGTCCAACTACCATTAAAAAATTAAAGGGGAGACAATTCACTCATTCATTTAGAATGAGTGAATGACAGCAGTGAAGAAAGAATCACACATTTTTAAACCAGAATTACAGCTGTACGAGTAACTCAGGTCACAGACTCAACCCAAGGCGATGGTTCATTTTTTGTATCCAACCAGAAGCTGTCAATACAACTTAATAAGTATGAACTAATAACTGCGTCAGGTGCCGTTGGCAAAACAAAAACAAACATCTGTGAAGGTTCACTCATTATCTTTTAACTCAGACATACAGTATGCCACAGTTGAGATTTAAAAACACCCGCCGTTGCTCCTTAACCTACATGTGAGACGAACAGATCCTTATATGTTTGTTCTTCTTTTGTGGGATTGTCTGACAGTATATCATACTGAGGAATAAAGACCAATTTAACACAAAATCTTAAAGAATTTATCTCCACTTTATGCCATGTGTTCAATGTTTCACAGACTAACAATTTATTTCATCATTTAATTAAAAATCCAACCTGCAGGCAGGGACCAAGGATTCATCTGGTCCTTCTTTTGAAAACCTAATGCAGCTCACCAGGGGGTGCTGATGAGCGTTAGTGATGACTATCCGGGCTCAGTGTAAATACAAAAACAGTCCTAGTGCTCATCTGATATTTATCTTTTTATTTTCAATCCCTCGGGGTATAAAGAATGGACAGCTCCTGCACCGCACACACACACACACACAGTTATTTAAGTTATTTATATGCAGTGCTGCTCGTCAGTTTCATGTTAATTAATTGACTTATCAGCATTTTACATGGAGATCAACACCAACCTACAGCAGCACCTTTTTTCTGACTTGTTCCCTTCGCCCTCACGTTCACGTGCTTCAGACACAGACTGGGCGATGAGCAACATTTACAGTCAAGACACAAAGTATGTCAAAGTCTGGGAAAATGTTTAGCACAAGTATATATTAGCAGATGTCATTGTTTCTGGTACTGTTCTGTTTTTTTCTGCTGCACACTTAGGGTTTGCTTCCTTAGTGTTATTTAAGGTGAATTGCTTGACATTAACATTTTCACAGTCGTTTCCTAAAATGTTGGCTGTGTTTAAAAAGTTCAAGTAAAAAAACAGAATATAAGCTGCCACCTCAAATCTGTTACTTGTTTTTCTCATTGCAACTAAAATATATAAACATATGTTCAAACGTCAATTATTTTTTGTTAAAGTTAAATACATTCTGATCACTTATTTTCCATCTCTGTACATGTATATTAGGTTTCTTACCTTGTATTATCTGTCTTTTTTTCTGCAGGTGGACAACCGACCAAAATACTATGGCAGAGAGTACGTTGATTTCTTTGCTTTGCCTGGAAACGTTTTAAATGTTGAATTTATCTCTGTTTTTTTTTTATTCATTGTAGTGTTGCCTTATTTTTCCCCAAACACCTTAAAACAATTGCTTCTTCTACCGCTGCTTGTCCAGATATCATGGGATGATCTCGAGGGAAGAAGCCGACCATTTGTTGAGCCAGGCTGAAGGCAGCTACCTCATCAGGGAGAGTCAGAGGCAACCAGGGACCTACACACTGGCTCTAAGGTATGGGTTTACACCCCCACTGGTCAGTCTATGAGCTACACCTATTTAAATATCCCATTAGGAGATTTCTAAGACTGAGCTGTCTGAGTGTTTCAAACACTGCTGATGTATTGGAAATTCCCAGTGTAGGTGCATAGGAAGTCAACAGTAACTGGAGAAAGTCTTTATCTCAACCCAACTCTGCAGATATAGGTATAGGTCAAAAGAGCAGTTAAACATTTTCTTGTTTCTGAAATGCTAACGTCTCAGTGGTGGCTTGCTGGTTAAGTACGTGGACTTGGGTTCGAACGGTTTCGGAGTCCACCAGCTGCCCAGTTCCCACTGAGGTGCTCTGATCATGGCACTGTCCCCACTCACTGCTGCCCACTGTTCACTTTGGTGATGGGTTAAAAGCAGAGGTCACACTTGGTTGTGTGCAGTGGTGAGCTGTGTCACAATGACAAGGAGTTCACTTTCCTTTTTACTCAGTGTCACTGTAGTTCCTTATTGAAGATGATGATTTTTGTTTCCTTAGCCGAATGTTGTGATTATTTGTTTATTTTGTGATATAGATTTTTGATAATATATTAATGTTGTCTGAATTATTATTATAATATTATATTATTATATTACAAAAACGTTTTTGTTCCATTAGCATTTGAATGGCTCAGTCATGAGCTGAGAATAAGTGTCACACTTTTTAATGGGTCCGTGGCTTCATTAATAAGAAGTTTTGGGTCAGCTGGTTCTATTCATAGCCACATCCTTCTTCCACCTGCACATTTCACTGGGTTCTTCATCCCCGTGGTTATAATTACGTTCCATAAATACTCTGCACTCAAACTTGAGTCCCAGTCTGGGAGAGCAAAAAAAGGAAAGGTTTAACTTTTGGGTTAATGATTCAAGATCGCCTCGTTACCTCCTGTTGGTTTCATACTGAACCACTGAGGTAGTGACACTGTGTGTTGGCCCAGTTAAATCTTCACATCTTAAATTGTTAAACTTAAACAAACTTTGATTATGAAAACCTAATGTATCTATATTCTGTGTTGAGGGTGTAGTCAGGCTAACGACAACTATAACCTTATATCATATATCTAAAGTTATGCTACATTGAAGGTTTTAGCTACAGGAGTCTCTAATGTTAGTAGAAGAACCACAGTTGTATTAAAGTTTATCCAAATTCTCATTTGATAATTTTATACTGTAATTCATGGTTGACTGTTTGCATCACAGACTGGACCAATAATGTCATTTCTACATTCAGTGGTAGACTGTCGATTCACTGCTTCCTGTTTAGTGTGAATGACCTTATGTTCACTGTAGCTGTAGCTTGAGAACCACTGGTTTTGCTTCCGCAGGAGTAAAATATTGGATGTGAACGTTCCTTGACTGTTCACCTATACTGGGCCAATGAAAACTTTTGAAACTCATTCTTCGCTTCCGTTTTTCTTCTTCTGACTTCAGGTTTGGAAACCAGACCAAAAACTTCCGTCTCTACCATGATGGTAAACACTTTGTTGGAGAGAAGAGGTTCGAGTCCATCCACGACCTGGTCACAGACGGACTCATCACTCTTTACATCGAGACCAAGGTGCGCGAGGAAAAACAGAACCTTTAACAGCAACATGGTTATAGTCGAACGAGGCATCTTAGAACGTTCGAGGAGTAAATATTTGCTGTGAAAAATACCTGAGCTGCTTTGATGCCTTAGCTGACGGAAGACGTAGATCTGGACAGCAGACGGGCTGGTTATGCACACGCACCCAATTTCTCTAAAGCTGCCCCTTGTTGTAATTATTTAAAAATATGCACTTATGCATAGTACTATAAAAAAATCATTATATTTGCAGAGGCTTTTGTCCGAGGGACTTACATGAGGAGGATAAAGTATATGGTTCCACCGTGGGCTCTGACCCAGAACCTTCTCTGACTGAAGCAGACAATCAATGGTGTTATTGTTTTGTATTCCATTATCTGTGAGCTTGGGCCAAAAAAGGACATGCAAAGAGATTGTTATTCCTAAACAATATTGTTCTCTGCTTTGTCAGCATCTTTCCTCTCTAGAATATCAGCTATCAGTGACCCACGTAGAATTGACCCAATCAGTGGTTCCCGACCTTTCTTTTGGCTTGTGACCACATTTGAACATCTCAAATTTCTTGCGACCCCAGAGATTTTCTTTATAGTCACATGATCGCAGCCGTCACTCAAGATGTGCCAGCTCAGATATTTTTATATGTTGCATTTATTAGAACTTTATTTATATTAATAAATGTGAGAGAACACAGTTGGTTAAGATGTTTTGTTTGTGTGGTGTTTTTAAATTGTAGTTTAAAAAAATATAGTATAAAATATACAATATAATAATCAGTTGAAAAAAAGGTATCAATTACTTGACAATTCAGGTGACCCTATTTGAATTCCAGGCGACGCCATGTGGGGTTGCCTCCCCAAGGTTGAAAGAACTGGACTGAGTTCTCTTCTTGTGTGTTTTAACCACCGTCTCCTCCGTCAGGCGGCCGAGTACATCGCAAAGATGACCATAAACCCCATCTATGAACACGTGGGCTACACCACTCTGAACCAGGAGCCCACGCTGAAGAAACACATTCCTCACAGCCCCGAGGCCCCTGACGGACCTGCTCCGGCCAAAGACGACTGCAATGCAGAGGAGAGGGTAAGGACACACTTCTCTGCTCTCCCACAGTGACACACACTCAGATTAAAAATAGCATGTTGATTTTTTATTGAGATTTCATTTGAAATTGATGTTATGGTTATATACTGCTGAGTTTAAATGAATGAAGAGGTGGGAAGAAGTTTCTGCAGAAGATATGAGTGGAGATGTTGAAAAAGTAGAAACAGTGGAGGAGGAGGAGGAGGAGGAGGCGGCTGGATGCAGAGAAGAAATGGCCTCCAGCCAAGGGCTCTGCAGTGAAGTTGCATAACAGCGGGTTTGCCTGCAGAAACCTCCTACCTCACTAAGTCCAACACTAGGAGTCAGTCACTGGGCCAGTAGTTTTAAGTTATTTTTTTTCCAACCCTGGTTTTAACTCTTCCCTGCACCAGTGTGTGTGTATTTTTATAGGCTCCACACGAAAGTAGCAGAACCTGCATGTGCAGTGTATCTGTTTAGACAACGATGCAAATCCAACACAGCACGACTGTGGAGTCTGAGCGAGTTGGTGTTGGA